GAGCAGTCACCTCTGTAATAACGTCACTCTCGCTTAGTTTGTACACAGTATACTGCCTTAAGTGGAGAAAAAAAGAATGAATTTCTTTTTTTGTACTGGGGATCGAACTCAGGACCTTGCCAGGCAGGCACCTAAGCCACTGAGCTATCTCCCTGGCCCAAAGAATGAAGTTCTTTTACCACTGCGGTAACTCTGTGTGAGCCACTGGGAGGATGGGATACATCAAATATTACCCATCTTGTGTTTCAAACTAGGGCAAAGGCTGAGAACTATGGTTCTACACCAATCAAGCTGGCAGGGACAAACTACCATCTTGGGCCAGAGAGATCAGATGAATTCTAACTACCTGATAATCAGGATGCTCTTGTTAGCAAACTCCTCTGCCTTGACTACACTGTAAGGACCAGGTCTTGGAGACCAGAGGAACTCAGAGTGAGCCACAGGGTAATAAGCTAGGCGTTGAAGAATAAGTGATCCGTGGAACAGAGAGGCCTGACGTAAAGGACAAACCGGTGTCAAGAAGGCCCTGGAAGGGAGCACCGCCTTGCTCATTCTCTTGGGGTTCTGTGATGGCAGTGAAGGAAGGAACCAAGCCAGTCTTCTGCATGCAAAGAAGCAGTTAGCGTCACCGGCTAGGTGGTGCATGGCAGTGAGGGTGTCGTGAAGATGGGAGCGAAGACAGAGAAATGGTCACCAGCAGCCACTGAAGAACACATTCGCTTCTGTAAAAGACCAAAAGTCATTGAATAACTTCAGAGAGGAAGCTCACAGGTTACCTTCCTTAATGCCATAAGTGTGTGTTGCAACTGCTTATCTGCGAGAAGATGGAACATTCGATTATCACCGAGGGTGTATTCCACACGCAGTAGGGACAGCCATGAGGAGAAATGCCGTACTCCTGTCCACGGAGAGAAGGCAGAGACGGGGACCCTCTTTGCCGGGGCTGTTTTCCATGCGCTGATCAGGACCTGGGGAAATCTACAAATTGCACTTTCCACCCTTTGAGCTGACCAGAGATTCTCTAGATCAGAGAACCCCAAGGAAAGGGGGACAGTGAGGGAATGAAAAGGACACTCGGGAAAAAGAGAACATGAAAGACAGATTCTTCTAATGAGGGCCTCAAACATGTCCTGCCCACCCATTTGACGATGCATCGTCCCTGTGCCTACCCTGAAGGTCCGTTCGCAGGAGCTGCAGCAGTGCAGGGGAACGAGAGGCGCGTAGCAATGATAAGCAAGCAAGCAATGGTGGGGTGCACGTGGGAAGAGTGGTGGAGAGTGCTGGGGAAGTGAAGAAAGGGCAGCGCAAGAGAAGGGCAGCGAGGGGGACTGGGAAGCTGCTTGGAAAAGTGCTGCCCCACACGCCCGAGGGGGACGGAGACCGTAGCTCTCAGGCGAGTTTTGTGCTTGTAGGAGCAATGACATGCTGCATGTAAATGAAGCTCCTTTTGAAAACTTTAGTCTGGCTCCGCTGTAGTTAGGAAGAGAATAATAATAACAGCAGCAACACCTATTAATGCAGCTCCTGCACCAGGCATCTTGGCCCTCTCTCAACTTTCAGTCAGAGGTGAAAAAAAAAGCTGAGGAGGGGCTCCACTTAGAGGGGACTGGGAAGATCCGACCTTAGACTTGCTGGTCTTAAAGCACACAGAGTGATAATCTGATGGGATAGTGTGAGAAGTGTGAAAACAAGGAAGGTCAAGGTATCAGCAGAGAGACACTCCCTTTGAGACCCACTTCTTTCATCTTTAAAGCTAGAACCATTGGGACTCTGCCCTCTAGAGTTACATCTCTAATGTCCTACCTTTCCGTCTCCCCCTTCTTCCAAAGACCTTTATGATGAATGACATCAAAGTCAGCTCCTGAACATCTTTGATTTCATTTTCAGTTTCACTATCTAGCATATTCACAGCTTCATAATCTAGCATATTCACAGGTTCCAGGGATTAGACTATGGACATCCCGGAGGGCTAGTACTCTGCCTATCACAGCAAATGGAAAATTAAAGTGATGAAAGACTTAAAAGCTCTCGGTTCTTTCTGAAGTTCTCTAATCTCACTTAGAGAGCCCTCTCTTTTGTTTCATGTAACTAAATTGATCACAAGAGCTAAACATGTGGTAGCTGAGCTGTACGATGATGTGTCGGTTTGTGCAATCTGGGACTGGAAACAAGGCACTTACCCTGATTTCTGCATGTAGAACAGGGCGAGGTCAAGGGAGTCTCAAGACTCCTCAGCATTCTTTCTCTGATCTCCGAAGTAACCATGTTTTTGTAGATAATACCCCCAAATTCAATGTCTCTGCCACTGGACGTTTCTTTTGAACTCCTCAATGCCACATAATTGTTGCTAATTTCCTGGTTAAGTCTCTCTTATTTTTAAATACGCAGGCAGCACTGTTGATATCTTTCCACTGTTGTTGATCAACACCTGTGCTGTGTAGATACACAAAACATGAGAGTAAAATTGATCCAACCTCTGCTCGAGTCACGTTGCCTGTGCTGCATTACTTCTCCGGGAACACCCACACTGCTTGTCACAGAATCAGTTGTTGATGTGTGCTTTGGAAGTCCACACACCTCATAACATTACAATAGCTTACATTTATGCAGTGCTTTATGGTTGGCAGCATTTTTTCATATCTGTTATTTTACATGATATTTCATGTTCTGAGATCTTAATATGCAATTCTTTGAAAATGGGTGCTTTTTTTTTTTTTTTTTTTTTTTTTTTTTTTTTGTTTGTTTGTTTCTGTTGTTGAACTCAGGCCCTTGCGCTTGCCAGGGAAGCGCTTATTCCACTGAGCCATCTCCTGGCCCAAATGGAATAAGGATTTATTTATTTATTTATTTTTGCTCCTCGAATGCCTGCAGGGCACTTTTGGCTGGCTGGAGTGTTGTGGGGATCGAACTACAGCAACCTGAGGCTGACAGCTTTGTGGAAGCAGCCACTTAAAGAACTGAGGTAGGGCCAGGACCTCCAAAATGGGTGCATTTGAGGCCCAGGAGATAGCTCAGTGGCATAGGTGCCTGCCTGGCAAGTGCAAGGTCCAGAGTTCAATCCCCAGTACCAAAAAAGAAGGAAGGAAGGAAGAAAGAAAGGAGAAAAAAAGAAAAGAGAAAAATGGGTGCATCTGTAAATGGGTTAGTTGTCAATCCTGCCATAATTCTGCAAAGATATTTGTTCACATCCTTGATCAGTGGTGACAGAGGTACCAAGCAATTTGCTGGAAAGCTGACCTCGAGCACTTGAATGAAACACAGACTTGTTCCCTCACATGCTGCATTTCTGGCTATAAAGTGATCAAACATCTTTTATATTTTAAATTGGACATCATCTTAATGAGACATCGTATACTACCTTTTATCTTCACTTCTGAAAGGAAATGCATTCTTGGAATGCTCTCAGGCTCTTTTCTTCAACATATTTAGGTGTCTTCCTTACCTCCTCATAGGGTCTTTGAGTTATTTACGATGCATCTTTACAAACATTTATCTAAATATGGGTAGACTTTAATAAATGTAAAAATCCCAAGAGTTTCAATATTGCAATCAGCATAAAGGCAGCACTGAAATTTGATCCGTCTGTAGTAATGTTCATATGTGGAAAGGTTCTCTGGAAAATAATTTTTCTCAAATAATTCAAACAGTCCATTGGTCCTTAAATTCATATGCATACGGCAGAGAAGCTTTTAGATGAATCCTAAACTCATTTAATTTCAGGACACTGTCTAGTGTTTAAACACTGACATCAAAGCAAAGAGCCAATTATCAGAGTTCATTTGGTCAGAAACTCTATTCCCTGAATTGCTATAGTTTTTCTTACGCCGAGGAGGTCTGCCTCACACCCTGCAGATGCAGTGTGTAAAACCACTTCAACCACAGCGGTTGAACTTGAAACGTGTTTGGGCTCAGCAGCCACAAGGAGGCATTGAAGCGTCTCTTCAAAATGTGAAGAGCACTTTTATTTCTTAAAAAAAGATGCCCCGTCAGTTGCTGAATTTCACATAAGCAGTTATACGGCTTGTGAGTATGTGTGCCTTTTAAGTTCATGTTTGGATCTACTTTGCCTTTAAGATGTGATATATTAGCATGATTATGCTATCGTTTGTTCCATAGAAGATTTTAGATGATAGTAATCCATATATTTTTCCCTCTACTGTTTCTAGCAGAAACAAAAGCGAAATTGCAGGACTTTTCTTAGGACTGACAAAGCAACTGTGTTAGCCTTCCTCGCCCTTTCAAGGTTAAATGTCCTTTTGGCAGCCTGGGGAGATATCTCGGCAGTCTAAGCACCTGCCCGGCGAGCACAAGGACCCAAGTTTGATCCCCAGTACCGCATGCTGTGCCAGCCCTGGAACCTCGGGTGCTCCACGCTGGCCCTGAACTGGGCGTGATGGCACATGCCTGTAATCCTAGTGTGGGGAGGCTGAGAAAGGAGGATCACTACGAGTCTGAGCTGCATAGAGAGACCCTGTACCAAATAAATAAATGAAATATATTTTTAAAAAGTCCTTTTGACTAGGAGTAGAAGCCTAGTTCTTGGAAATGCATAATTCTTAGATACATAATCCTGACAATAAAGGGTCTATCTGAAATGGATGTGTCCTTTTTAAGTGACTCTGGCACCCCCCCCCAAGGGCAGGAGGCACTCAAGTTCAAAGGCCAACACAATGTTTTTAACCTGAGCATAATGTTCTCAGGCTCAATGTCAGAACCTTTCCCCGTGTCTCCATAATCCTCACTCTTGGGAGCTCTGCTAGTACTGAAAACCTCAAGCCTCTCCACTGCAGGACAGGATACGTAGCATACCCTTCCAACCAATGCTTAATTCCCTGAGAGACCAGGACCACATTCTTAGGAGTTGTACTGTTTCTGTAAAACGCTGCAGAGAATTTTTTTTTTTTCCTGGAAATGTGGACTGTGACATTTTGAAATCCTCATGTGCCATTTTGCTATACTGACTTGCTCTTTCTGGGCCTGACACTTGGTTTGCCTTTTAGGATATCCCAAGCCTGTGCGAGAACATATCGGTGATCTCGGCACACAGCAGAATATGCAGCTGGGGAGGCTGTGTGACATCTTAGGTACAGTAAATAGTTCAACACAAATAACTCTCTTCCGTGTTTATCAGTGAATGTTGATGCAATGTTTCTTTTTTATTTATTTACTTTTATCAGGAGAAGCCTGGGTTACTAATCTACTTTTAGGGGAACTGAAAGTTTTAAATAACAAGTGGGTAGTGAAATCAACTTGAATAAAAATGACATTTTATGGGCCAGCCAGATAGCTCAGCAGACTAAAGTGCCTGCTTAGGCAGGCACAGGGACCAGGGTTCGATCCCCAGTGTGCTGTGCTGGCCTTGCCCCCAGGGCACGCTGAGAGGGCGATTGAGACGGGGCGTGGTGGCGCATGCCTGTAATCTCAGTACTTGGGAGGCTGAAAACAGGAGGATCACTATGAGTCTGATCTGTGCATGAGACCCTGTAGACCCTGTACTAAATAATAATAATAATAATAGTAATAGTAATAATGACATTTTAATCAATTACTTGAGCAGTTTACCAAATTCTTTTTTATGTAGGTTTGGATAAGGATTTCTCTCCTGTACACCAAAATCTTCTTTATTTACTGAATCCTGAAATGACTGAGGTCCAAATTGTATATCAGTGTCAATCTTGTGTGGTATCTAGGCAACGAACGGAAGGTGACATCAGGAATGCTGCATCATCTTTGCACTGCAAGAACGCTGGCAAAGTGAAGATAGACTTTTAAAAGATGCCACTGTGTAAATCCAAAGCATCTAGTTAGTAGGAAACATGAGGTGCCTGGTGGAGGGACATCTTAGGGACACAGAACTTGAGTGAGTGAAGGAAATATCTTTGTCAAAGTCAGGCTGTGGTGTGGGTTTGAGCAACCTGGCATCAGTCCCCAATCTGGGTCCAGCACAGGAAGACGTACGAAGATGTTGGCTCTGGCTAAAGCCAGGATTCAAGCCAGACTTAGGACACACAGGCTGTAAAGGCGAAGAAATAGCATGAGTCAGTTTGTGAAAGACTGGTCAAAAACTTGGGTGAGACAAACACTAGATCTTTTATTAGTTACCAAGCACAAACTTCTTTGTTTTATTAAACTATACTTGCTTTGGCCCTTATTTAAGTAAAACAAGGGAGAGTTTTAAATTACCAATGACCAACTTAGCTGGCTCTCCGGAATGACACACTTTACATGATTCATATATATTTCAGCATCATTATTATTTTATAAATACCATTTGGTAACAAAAATACATCAGTACTAGAAATTTACAGAGTCCTACAATAATAATAGTATAATTGCTTTAATCTGTTATCTAGGCACTAATACCATTTTTTGGCATTACAGAAAATTTAATGACTTGAGATTGATTTGTTAGTGCTGAGCTATTTCAACTAAAAACCTGACTGGATAAAAACCACTGAAGTGCAGCAGAGGGCAGCCTTTGCTCTAATTTATTTGAATTAATTTTTTTCTTCGGCTTTTTATATATTCTTTCTATATATAGAAGAAGCCATCGCCAAAGACTTTTTTACAAAAAGTCCTCATTGCTAGAAAAACTTTGCCTTCTGTTTTAAGTAATCCAGTAATTCAGCCTGATCTCGTCAATTAAGATTGATCCTTTGATACTGGTTCTGAGATTAAAAATGCCAGGTATAGGCTCAAATGAATAGTGTTTTCAATTCCTATATGCATTAAGAGAGTAACTGATTTTGACTACTGACCAGTAATCAAAGCAACTTTCCTTTCTGTATCAGCTGCTTTTCACAATTACCCATCAATTAACTGGGAGGGGGCTTGCCATGCCGGCCCTGTCCCCCAGGCGTGCTGAGAAGGCCATTGAGACTGCGCATGGTGGTGCCTGTAATCCCAGCTCTTGGGAGACTGTAAACAGGCAGATCACTGGGAGTCTAGCAGTGAGAACCTGAACATCCTGTAGACCCTTCTCTAAAATACAAAAAAAAAAAAAAAAAAAAAGAAAAGAAAAATTAACTGTGAGCATGTGTAGATTCATGACAAAAGCACACTAATACTAGATATTAGAGTGAGGGTTCCTTTTGCCAGAAATAAATAGGAAAGAAAGGTAAAATTAGCACCATGATTTCTTATCATCTGTAACCTAGACATTTTCTTTCTTTCTTTCCTTTTCGTTTGTGGAACCCGGGATTCATTTCCTTTCTATCACAGAGGAGGCTTAGGATTCCTGCTTGGCCCACCCTGCCCGAGGAAACCCTTAGCAACTTTTCTGGTCCTGGGACAAACACCTGACAAACACAGTGTAAAGGCGCAAAGAATCATCTTGGCAGGTGTCAGCCCATGTTAGCTGGCCCCGAGGCAGAAGACATCACGGCAGAAGGGCATCCAGGAAGCAGAGAAAGGGGAGGGCGCCAGGGACACGAGTATGCCCTGCTAGGTTACTCTGCCAGTGACCCACATCCTCCACCCTGGCCCTGCTTCCTAGCATTGTATCCCAAAACAAAGTCATCCATGGACAGATCCAGTGAGGAGGTCCCTGCCTCTGACATTCTAAACCCTACCTGAGGCATTTTCAGCATTCCCTTCGAAACTCCCTAAGCACCTGCCTGTGTGGGCTCCTGAGCAACTGCTCTGCACTGTATTTGACAGTGCTAGTGCTTGTGAAAAGGATGCTCTTCGAGGGCTGGTCTCAAGTCACTCTGCTCATGGGATCCCTTCCATGTGTAGCAAATAGTTTTGTCCGCTTGTATTTATACCAGTCAGCTGCTTTATGAATTAATAATTCCACTGGTTGCTAATTTTGCACTTATCCGCCCTAAAATATTTTGTAGTGTGGACTGAGTAATTTTATCTCACTATTCCATTCGGATGGGATATTTAATTAGGGTTTTTTTTCTACATGCATAATAAGAAGCACATCTTAAGAAAGAGAACAGTGAAATTAAGGCCACGGTTCCTTTAGACCGAGAACCACTAGGTGTGCTATTGAAGTCATATATTCCTCTTCGAGAATGCAGGAGGGAAAAGGTTGCCTTCCTAAAATAATTATCGCTTTGGTCATAATCAGACAATTTATTTGGACAGGACATTCCCTGAATTGGCCCTGTCAAGTCCAAGCAGAAGAAGAAACTGCAATTTCATCAGCTTTGTAAAGTTAATAGCTTTGTTTTATAATTTGCTGAAGTTAATGGGATAAATTCCCATTGATGTTAATGGGAGTTGTGTGGCTAAATCCCCACGTATTATTGGAAAGTATGGTTCCGTGCTACCTCGTAGCCCTCTTTCTGAAGAAAGCACTGCATGTATGTTGTTGCTGTGGGTGGTGGTGTTTATTTTTTCATCAGAGAAGTGCTAATGTGAAAAAACACTGGTTAGATGACTAAGATGTGTACAAAACCAAGCTAACTTGACTGCGATGTGGCTTTTGGATATACTCTTTATTTTAAATTGTGTAACATCAAGCGGATGCCAGAGTTCACGGTGTCATTTACCTTTATACCAGTAATTAACACTGTGCCTGTTGTGTTTTAGATGACAATGTGAACATCATCTACATCTGCTCCTATCATATGAATGACGACTTAATGCTGTATTACCATAAAATCCTCAGTCTACACGCAGCTGTCAAATCGGGGAACCTTGAGGACAGAAGTGACCTGCAGCACAGGTTCAAAATTATCACCCCTGAAGCTGTAAACATCTTCACTGTGAGTTTGTCTTCTAATTACTACGGCTTCAGGGATGCAGTAAAATTAAATTGGAAATTTTATAACTTGCAACGCTCTGGTACACATCAGTGAAATATTATTGCAAGTTTAACAGCTTTACTGATTAGACTACTAGTTGGGCTGGAGGAAATAAATATCCCTGTTTAACTTTCAGACTTAGTTTCGCTACCTCTGCCCAGTTTCTCTGTAGCTGAAGCCTAATTGCAGTTCCAAGGGGAAACCATCGAGTAGGCGAGTTTATAACATCTATCATCCTGTTTTCTTAATTCTGTGTGGAGGAAACCAAGACACAGCAAGGCTGGTCACAAAGCTGTTCAGGGATAGCGTCTAGACCAGGGCCCCCATTTTCTGACTTCCACAAGGGTACTCCATTTCTCTATAGTTCTTTGCTTCTGGGTAAGGTGGCCTGACTCAACCTGTGGTTCGTAATGAGCAAAGCCCCATCCCTACTCACCGTCTTTGGGAAATTCATGAGACGGTGATGGCAGTGGTCTAGGCTAAGGCCAAACAACAGATGGCTTGAAATGAATCGCTCTACATTTCAGTAAGAATTCAAACATTCCATGTTAAGCAAACATTTTAACACCAATGGACTATCCAATTTTTGAGAGTCTTTTTTGTATAATTAAAGATTGAGGGGGCTGGGGAGATGGCTCAGTGGAAGAAGTGCTTCCCTGGCAAGCGCAAGGGCCTGAGTTCAATCCCCGGTTCCACCAAAAAAAAAAAAAAAAAAAAAAAAAAAAGATTGAATATGCTTGTAAAGGCTGCTCTCTCTCTTCTTACGGAGGTGCACCAGCCAGCTGTCTCAGATCACCAGAGGAACTGGCTGTGTGCTCTACATGGGAACTATCTCAGTGCTCAGTTAATACCTGTTAACACTTAGATGCACCTCAGTGCGGGGCTTGACAAACCAAAGAGGGACAGGCCTGGGCCCTGAGAAAGTCCCAGCAAAGCTGGGAAGACAACCGCAGCATTTCTGCCTCGCTGGTATATCCAGCGAGTTGTCTCTGCTATAGAGAGGAAGTCATAGCAGGCACATCAGTATCCACCTCCCCAAAGATCTCTCTCTCAGTTCTATTTCATTGACAGCCTTGGTTATGGAAGGGGGCGGGGAAGGGAGATGCAGTAAGAGAAAGGACAGGGGGCAGGTCATTGCCACTCATGGGACCTTCCATATCTCCACCAAAGCCAGGCCTTTTTTTTTTTTTTTGGTGCTTCCTAGTTTTGCCCTGGGCTCAATGGCACAGTCACTGTGGACATTAGGAAGCAAGGAAGGAGGAGCTCTACCACTAGTGTGCAGTTAAATCCCTAACCTTCTTGAGCCAGAGACTCAAGTTTACTGGAGTTCACTAATTAGTTAACTAACGCCTGCTAGCTGCCAACATGGAGTTTCTTCTGAAAAGTCCATGTGGAACAGCGGAAAGGTCACGGAGCGGTAAGGGAGAAAGAAAGTGTGTAAATTCATAGAATTCTTTTTTCTTTTTCATTCATGTATTTGGTACAGGGGCTTACTATGCAGCTTGGACTCATAGTGATCCTCCTGTTTTCAGCCTCTCCAGCACTGAGATTACAGGTGTGCGCCACCGCATCCAGACTCGGTTTTGGGCTCAGCACGCCCAGGAAGCGGGGCCGGCACTGCATGTGGGACGGAGATGAAACCCTGGGCCCTGTGCTTGCCAAATCAGGCACTTAGTCAGCTGAGCTACCTTACCAGCCCTTAAAATTCTTAACATACATTTCTCACTTGATTATCAGAATAATGCAAGACAGAAATCATCACTCTTCTTTTATGTCTGTGGAAACTGAGATTCATCTTGTAGCCCAGGGCTCCCAGGAGAGCCAGAGTCTGAGCCAAATTCTGGCTGCTCCAGAACACTGTAATGAACTGCCAATGGCTGCTCTGCTCTCGGGCGACCGCGTGCCTTGGACAAGCCCCTCCAGCTTCCTGGGTCTCTGTTCTTCATCTATAAACTGAGGAGATGGCTTAGATAATTCCAGAGTCCTCTCCAATTGTATAACCCTGCTCCCTGAGGTATTTACTTTTGCACCATACTCTCTGACTCCCAAGCAAGGGAGAGGCCGCTCTCTCCCACACACCAAGGTGCGGTCAGTGCGTAGGTCTGCATCTTGGAGAGCAGGAACAAAGAGGCAAGGTTTTCAGTACTTACTACTTCTCCTAACTTAAATTCAAATTATCTGAGTAATTAATCACTCATAAGCAATCAACTTTTTTAAATACAAAAATTAAACTCTCACTTCCAAATCAGTTTCTGTTCATGTTTAGCTATCGCTTTATTTCTTTTTAATGGGTTTCAGAGATTGTATCAGTGCTGATTTTCATTCAAATAGATGGCTTTGAGGAGATTTTTAAAAGCTTGCCAAAATCTGTTTGTACATCTCCCCAAGTTACTATACAGTACTTGAATGTATAACAGTAAAATGTGCTCCAACGAAGCCATCATGTCTACTTTTGGATAATTTCGATGTTTATGAAGACATTCTAAATAACTACCATTTGTCTCAGGTCAAAACAAACAAACAAACCCAAAAACCAAAAAACAAGGGTGATAAATTAAATGTAGCCATAACACAAGGCAATTAAGAGCATTTTAGATCTTTGTCATCAGTGATAATCTGCTGCCTGGATCTGTGATACTGATTTTCTCTAAATGATCACACAAGACCTGTGGTCCATAACGTGTCCTCTGCCGTCACTCACTCACATTTAAATCTTTATTAAATACATTTAACACAATGCCACGGTACTATGATGAATAAGCGTGCCTACAGATGACTATAATATAGAGCCGGGGAAAATACGTGCCAATAGAAATAAGCACTTAGAGGAGACAGAAATCTATCCTGGCTGAAAATGTGGCCCAAACTTTAGCCCGAGTTTCTACTGCTGCATCTGCTGTGCCATCGCCACAGCTCACAACCTCGCCAGCACCAGACCTTCCGGGCTCGCTCTGTAAGATGGGCCTTGTGGCTCCGTGGTGATCGGGCCAAGAGGGCTGGAATGCTGCCTCTGCTGTCACCAGCTGTGGGACTCTAGGCAAACCACTTGAGCCTCAAGACCCTTGTCTCAAAATAGGACTGCTAATGGATGGAGCGTCCCCTGAACTGAAAGAGAATGTGTGACTAAGGCTGTGATCTTGCTGGCTTACCAGGAGAGGAGAGAATACTCTTCTAGAAGCCCTGAAAAGCCCACCATGGGCATAGCAACTTGAGTTAGCGACCATTTACTGACCACTCGCCCAATGTCCGGCGTTATGCTAGGTGCTTTATATTTCTGATCTTAGCCTTAAAGCAACACTGGGTATGGGTGTTTGGATTCTCATGAAACATGTGAAGAATGGGTTCATGAAGTCTCGCTTGGCCCAAGTCATGGAGTTTATGAGAGACAGGTATGTTTTAACACCAACAGGCCTTTTGAATTCCAAAACCCTAGCATTTTCCTTTTTGATACTCTCTTCTGTAGTGGAAGTAAACACAATCTTGGTTCTAGTGTTGCTTTCTCAGGTAATGTCTCTCCCATGCCCACCTTCACCTGATAAAATCTTACTCAGACTTCAAAATTCACCTCAACCCTAACCTCTGTCAGGATAACAGTATCAGCTAGCATTAATCAGGCAATTACTGTGTCCCAGACGGTATTATAAGTGCTTTGCATGCATTACACCACTTAAGCCCCGCAACATCCCTGTGACACAGATACTACATTCTTTGTGCAGATAAGGAAATTGGAGCTTACGGAGCGTGAGTAACTTGCCTTTCCAGCGCTCTCTACCAGCACCTGGCCCTGCCTCTGTCTTCCACACCTGTGGTGCACTTTGCAGCGTCCTATGGCCCCCTCAGTCTTGCTCACTTAGTGTTAGCTGCTCATACTCATGTCCCACTCCTTGATAGCAGAACCATGGTTGTGTTAGTTTCGGCGTACGCTGACCATCTAGCTCCGTCCTCTGCTTCATTAGACATGAAAACAGCAGCTTACTTAATTGAATGAGATGATAAGCACACACATTCTAAGTCGGGTCTAACTAATCAAAATACAATAAAAAGAGTTGTCCTAGGATAAAAAACTGGAGCCTTGATGACATCCTCAAATATTTTTTCTCTGTGAACCCTTTCCAGAATTGTTAGCTAGAGTCGCTGATAACCACTGCAAAAGCACATATTCCCTGAAGCTGATTTTGTGGCAGAATTCTGGAGAGAGGTGTCGACTCAAGTGCCTTTTTCCTACTGAGGCACTTCAAGAGTTGGCAGATTATGCGTCTGTATGGTGAAGAATACTACAAGGCTTTTTTCTTCATTCTTTTGTATTGATTTTCCAGCCGCTTTCGTGTTAAACCATGCCAGAACTGCTGCAGAGATGAGTCACTATTATCCAAAGGCCGCCAGCCTCTTTTCCTTCTGACAGAAGGATAATTCCACGTGGATCAAATAAATACAGATGTGTAGTAATTAGTTCTATTCCCAGTGAGCCTATTTCCAACACACTAAAGATGTAAGCGATTATGGAACCTCACCCCAACAGCTTTTATCAATTTAAACTGCTAAACAACAGGATAGGTCATAACCCAGCCTGCTATTAATAATGTATTTATTATGTGCAACATTATAAATTAGGTGCATGGACTAGAAAAAGCACACCTTTTAACAAGAATGATATGCTGTTCCCCCAGACTCACCACATGTGCCTGGCTACTCACCTGATGTACAGTCCCAAGGCAATCAAAAGAATAAAAAACCTCATCCAAGGCACAGAGGCCTACATCGTGGGCGGACTCCTCCACAGGGATGACTTAGCCGTGGCTGATATGTTAGATGTGCCTATCCTGGGCTCAGAGCCTGAACTGGTTCATCTCTATAGTGCCAAGTCTGGAAGCAAACGGGTCTTCAGCAGCGCCAACGTGCCGGTCCCCCCTGGAATATATGACATCTGTGGTTATCAGCAGGTATGTGGGGTGGGGATGCCAGGCTCTGCTCAAGTATTTCACGTTCTCTTGACCTGGGGCAACTTCAGATGATCTGGAGCTAACCCTACCCAAAGAAGAATATGTGAATAGTGTGTTGAGTCACATTAGGCCTTCATCTGTTGAAGTTTCCTACTGGTCTTGCAAAAACTGCTGGAATTTACTCGTCTGGATTAAGACAGAGGACTCTGTTGAAATGACTTACTGCTTGGACTAAGCTGCCATCAATATTTAATGCTTTAGCATAAGATTAGTTGATCGTCATATCAGCCAGCCAGTAAGACCCTAAGAAACATGAGAGTGTATCTTGGCTAAAAGAAACAGGTTTGAAAAGCTCCAGAGAATAAGCCTCTCTGCCAGGTCAAATTGCAGAAGGCTACAGACACCCTTGGCTCTGTAAAAAAAAATTATATATATATATGCATATATATATTTTGGCTTCTCAAGGCCCCCAAAGGAAGGAAGGGAAAGAATCCAGAAAGGGGAAGTGAAATAGCTCCAGGAATAAAACTGCTTCTGGCTTTGCTTTGGACCAAGTCTGTGGTTCTGCATTCTTCCAGCAGATAGTTAGGGCCTGAAATATTTGGAGAAATACATTCACCACCAGGAATGTTTTCTCTTTGAGTTAGATGTGGCAGGTGTTCTCTCATTTGACTGCCATCTGTTTCCATAATAAAGAAAATTAAAAGACAAATGGCTGTTAGCATTTCCTAACCCCTGTTTCAGTAGCTGCTTTGACCATTACTCTAAGCCAGTCACAAATTATCTGCCCTGCCCACTCCTCCAGAAACTAAAGAACCAGACACATGGAGCGTTTATGAGGGACTGTATCAGGAATCCCCGTCTCTTTTTGTTGCCCCCTATGGCGGCCAATAAGCCCCCAAATCAGGCCTTTCATGAGATCATACTTGACAGAGACCAGTTGGAAAACAACCATGAGCTTATTAAATTGCCCTCACACTTTTCCATCTTCCTAGCGTGTTCTTGGCAATCCAGGGACTCATGCAGGAAGCCCTGTCTGGGAGAGGCACAAGCAATTTTAGCAGAGTGGGATGGAAAGGCTCCCCCGGAGCTGTGTGTCACACCAATGTCATTAACCTCCACTGGAATTTGGAGGTGGCAATGCTTGGCTCTGCTTCCCAAGAGAGTTTTTCGCTGGTAAAGTTAAAACAAATGAATGTACTTTTAAATGACGGAATTTCACACATGCACGTTACATTAAACAACCTTCAAGACTTTAAAATCTATGTGCAATATTTATATTGTCTTGGTTTCATCTTCACGGATGACAACTCAGGCTGTCTTTGTGTTGAAATATTTCAGAACTTGATGTGTTAATTGTGGTTAAAGATGCAGACACATTTAATGAGTTAAGCCTCTGTCTAGTGCTAGAATTCAGAAGTAAAGCCAAAAACCTCCTCACAGACACATCAGATTTGAGGAATGTTATTTAACCTCTGGTGTGTACAATTTGTATAACAATAAGCCAAGTGGAACTGAGTTCTACCCTACTTGTTTGGAAATGTACATCTGGGGTCCCCAAGAATTGAATAGCCTGCTGAGATCTTCCCTAACTTTAACCCTAAGTGCATACCCTACCCCATCCATCCGAGTGTAGCACTATTTTGAATCCACAGCCAGTAATCAATCAGTAGCGCTGACTTTTTACCAAGGTGCATCGTAAACTTAAAGCTGGTGAAAGAAAGCCATATTAAAACTTAGGTTAATATGGATTCCTGAGTGAATATCCGTTGGATCTTGCCAGTAGTTGTTTTTCTACTTTTGCTCTCTACCAGCGTAAAATGAGTCACAACTGAAAAATATTACATATTTTGAACAGATAAGCTCAAACAGAAAAAGATAAATGTTTGGGAATAGCATAAAGTCATTTGGTTTATGCTTAACTATTTTTTTCTAGCATGAGCACAGTGAGCACTTTGTGTTTTGACCTATAAAGTAACTGTGCAAGTCCCCTTTCTGGCATGTGCTCCCTGTGAAATATTGACGGCTTTGGTTAAATAATCAAAAATGGCAATGCTATTTTAAAGCACTGTTCAATTTTCACTTAAAGATAGCACATAATTCTTTCCAGTGGTGCAGTCTTTACAATACCATCGATTGTTTCATTACTGTAGGGGATCCATCAACAGACACCAATTTATAGGATTCTCAGAAGCAACAAATAATAGGATTTGGAAGAAACAGATAATAATTCTGTTAGTAGTTGCAACCTCCAGATATATAATATATCCAAATGTACAATAAAGAAGGCTCTGCCAGGACACCTTTCGTTAGGGTGGCAAAAAAGTTTTTATCTGATCTCAGTTAACAAGCCAAAGACTAGTCTCCCTTTTGCAATGTATGGTCACAATACATGTATCAAAATATGCTCGTAGGCTCTATCTTCTCAACATGTTAGACAAAGAAGGGCTACAGCTTTGGAAGGCACATTACAAAGCCTTCCCAGGCTATATTCATGTGATGTGTAGACCTGTCACTTAAGTACCCAAATGATCCGTAGACCCTGCTTAATAATTAGGGAGTCAGCAATTTTTTTTTGGTGGGGGGTGTCGGACCAGGGATTGAACTCAGGCCCCTGTGCTTGCCAGGCAAGTGCTTCTTCCACTGAGCCATCTCCCCGGCCCCTGGAGTCAGCAACTTTATTTTCAGCCTAAATGAATGCCCCAAGGTGGTAGGAGGTTTCTGAAGACCCCCAAGCATGGCTCTTTTGGTATCTCTTCCACACTGCCCTTCCATGTAGCATCCTGGGAATATTTGCTGGATATAACAACTCAAGGGAACTGATTTGAAGTTATTTTAATTTTATACATCCAATGTCTACAGGGCTATAAACCTTGAACCTTTGCACACTCTTTAGTTTAAAAAAATTGAACATCTATTCGGTAGGCTGAGAGAAATCATCAAAGGAGAATAGAATGATATTTTGTTGTTTTCTGAGGAGTACAAACTGGAAAGTCTGATGAGAAGACAAGATCAAACTAAAATTTTTTGTGTGTGATCTAATGTTTTGGTTTTTTTTTCTCTCCATGGCTTTATCAGTAATCTCGCTATAGATTTTTGTTGGATGCATCCCAAATGGCTTACTGACTATAAGGTAAATTGGTTGTCTTTTCCTGCTCTGGCTTCTCCCTCTTTAGCTCTTTGTAGGATGGGAGAGGCCACACTGTGGAGACGATGTAGGGTGCTAGTGACCTGAGACAACCTGGGAGGAACTCTGTTCTGTCACTCAAAGCTATAATGTCTTGGTTATTGAAGTCAGCCTGCCTGGATGTACTAAGTGGAACTACAAATGGTGCCTACCTACAGGCTACCGTATTAAATGAGAAAATCCCTGTAGAGAACTTCCATGAGCTGAAGGCCTGGGTCCTAAGGAGAGTTCGGTAACACTAGAGACAGTATTACTGTTAGCAGCAGCAACACTTTGATGGGAAAGCTTAGAATTGTGTCCTATCCCTTCAGCTTCCATATACCTGTGCTCATTCCCTCATTCTTGAGGGAATGCTTTGAACAAAGCGTAGGGTGGGTGTGGATTCCACAAGTGTGGCATCTCCTTCATCTGCCTTAGCCAGTAACACACTTGGTTTAGTAAACTGGCCAACTCACCAGTCACACGAAGGTAATTCATGTGTTAATAAGGGGAAAATTAAGTGTTTTATAGATTAAAACATTTAAAAGTTCAACAGAGCTCGAAACAGTTAAAGTTTCCAAGACTGTAACTCTTTATAGTCTTGAAACTATAAAAAACCATTTGAGGAATCAATAACTCTCTGCAAAAGAAAGAAACAATGGCAAGATTCAGTTGCAGATATTTAAAGATGCTTTCTTTCTCCTTCAAAAGCTAACAAAATGATACTTTTAGGATTTCTCCTAAATAAGACTGCACGTTTAAACCTGCAGTTGGTCCAGTAGTTACTGGTTTCCCCACATCATATTACATTATTTCAAACTTCTTCGCCTGCCTCCATAGGTAGAAGAGAACAAAGGGGCTCTGTGCGGTGAAGAAGCAGCACCCCAAGATGCTAGAGGAGGGGAAGCACTCTAGTAAATGCTGCTGTCTCCCCCACCCCCAGATGACAGAGCAGCTGAGCCAGGCGGTGGTCGACCACCTGCAAATCCAGCGCTGGCTCTTTAAAATGAACTTGGAGTTCGGAGGAAACGGGACTGCCTTTTGTGACATTCCCTCACACCTGCAGTGCTACAAGTGGGTGGTCAAGGAGAGCCAGCGATATGGCTTCGAGGACTGGAAGAAGAAGTGGGCACACGTGAGTGTCTGGTGGTGGCTTAAACCACAGGGCCAGGGACGGGAGGGGAGATGAGGCAGAGGGCTCAGTCACGGGACAGCTCAGCCCAGTCACCAACACTGGCCTTGGTGTACTTCAGACCTTATCTACGCAGTGCATGGGACTCATTTGCTTGTTGGGAATATCCCTTGTTTGCCCCCTACAAATGTTCATTCACATCTTCAAATCAGTTATGATAATTAGGAAGTGATTTTTTTTTAAAAAAAATCACATTCAGATAGTGTTACAAATCTCATCACTTGTCTTAAGCAGGTCTTCCTCACATGCCCCTAACAACTATTGTTGTCACACTGGCTGTTTTTTATTAGGAGATAGAGATTCTATTAGCAAATGGTTGTCACCTGGAAAAGCTAATGCAGACTAGCATTCTGTCAGCAGTCACGTGTTTTTAAGACAATCCCCAGAAATTTATATAACTGCTGTTCCCTGTGAGATGCGGAGCAAATATCATACACCCAGCAGAAAATCTCCCAGCAAAAGCTAAACAGTAGGTAGGGATCTTAACATGTGGATCCATGTATCTTCATGAACTGTATGACCTCTCAGCCTGTTCCACTTTGCTTAATAATTAATTTTATATGCCTTAATATCTATGATATAGTAGACCTAGTTTTGCATCCAGAGATCTAGGCTCCCCTGACTTCTTTTAATCCCACATCTTGGTTTTATCTAATCTACTGGCTGAGACATAACTGATTAGGAAAACCAAGATGCGAATTCCCTTAGCATGTTCCTTCTCGACCGACCGGCACACGTAGGGGTGGGCTCTGCAGAGTGATTTGCATCTGCTTGGAGCATCCCACTACAGAAGGGCATGAATCAAGATCCAAGTGATAGTGGGGAGGGGCACATGAGAGGGGACCACATGATTCTTGGGAAAGCAAGATGGTGAATAAATCTAGAGAACAGTCAGGAGAGAGAGAGTTCCTTTGACAAATGTGACAGTTCTCCCCATGATCCAGTCTGGGCTTTTTTTTCCCTCCTCCAACAGTGAATGGACTTAATGCAGTACCTGTCATGGCCAGCTTTTTACATATTATTTAAAGGGTACCAAAGTGAATTACTCTTCTTGGGGGAAAAAACACAAGGAAAATGTATTTAATTTTGAGGCCCAGAGAGGGTTCTCTTTGAACTGGAGTTTATTTTATACTGTATGGATTCCTTTTTAAAGCAAAACTATTAAGATAAAACTATGAAAAAGTATGACTTCCTTATCCAAAAACTGAATCATTAGCGTATAAAGTATTTTCTGGCCTAGGTACTTCAAACCAATAATTTTTTTTAATTATTTATTTATTTTTATTTATTACATTTATTTATTGTGTGTGTGTGTGGCCAGCTCAGCCCACCAGGGAGCGGGGCTGGCTGGCATGTGGTGCTGGGGGATTGAACCGCGGTCCCTGTGCTTTGCCAAGCTTGTTTCAAGTAGGTGCTTTAGACCACTGAGCCATCTCTCCAGCCCCAAACCAATAATTTTTAAAGCATTCCACTGACTCTAGACTATGATAAATTTGAAATCTTTGACTTTAAGTTTAAAAAATACTTAGAATACTGACATTTGGCTGAATTACATTTGCAGTTGATGCATCATTGTACATTATTTAATTTCAGTTATTTTAAGCTATCCCATTTAAATTGCCATCAAATATATTTGGCATTGTTAATGTTATTAAATGCAAAACTCTTAAATAATTAATCATCTATCTAAATCATTTTAACAGGAAAAAAATAATTATTCAAACATGTTTTTACAGTGTGAGGCCTGTGCTGGGCCAGGATGCACCAAGAGGCAAAAATTACAAATAAAAATAAAGCGGCTCTGACAAGCAGTTCTTTTTTATTTTGTAGGAAACTATTGACATTCTTTTTGCCTTCAAAGTGAAATTGTATTTGCCGTAGAGGTGAGCGACAGTCTCCAGCGAGTGCAGCTATTGAGAATTTAGGATTAATGTTCTCTTTGTTCCAGAAGACCATTATCATGGTGCCCATTTAGACATCAAAGCATTACTTTATGAGCACAGGCATGTTTTAATGTCCTATTACACTTGGTAGACCTGTTTCTTTTGATAATGAAGATGTTGTATCATCAAGCCTAGCCTGGCACATACAAAACATATGCTGGCAGGTTATTAAAAATTTCAGCTTCTTGATGAAAGACTATCCTGCAGGCTAAGAGTCCAGAGAAAGACTCCATTCTGAGAGAATTATTAGAAATGAGAATATGACTGTAAGCACTAAATTATGTTAATACTTACAAATAGCATCATTTGCATAGCAGTTTATGACACGATACCATGATTTTTCTCATTGGTATGTTGTAGGCAACAGATTAAAAACAGTGCTGTTTATGGGAGTTGGAGCTGTTTTGAGATTCCCTTGCATCTTATGAGGTATTAGTTTTAGAAATAGACAGGATTCAGTGTAGACTCAGGTATGTAACATAAAGACTTTTCCTGTCTGTCTGTCTGTCTGTCTGTCTGTCTGTCTGTCTAAATCAGTTATGATAATTAGGAAGTGATTTTTTTTTAAAAAAAATCACATTCAGATAGTGTTACAAATCTCATCACTTGTCTTAAGCAGGTCTTCCTCACATGCCCCTAACAACTATTGTTGTCACACTGGCTGTTTTTTATTAGGAGATAGAGATTCTATTAGCAAATGGTTGTCACCTGGAAAAGCTAATGCAGACTAGCATTCTGTCAGCAGTCACGTGTTTTTAAGACAATCCCCAGAAATTTATATAACTGCTGTTCCCTGTGAGATGCGGAGCAAATATCATACACCCAGCAGAAAATCTCCCAGCAAAAGCTAAACAGTAGGTAGGGATCTTAACATGTGGATCCATGTATCTTCATGAACTGTATGACCTCTCAGCCTGTTCCACTTTGCTTAATAATTAATTTTATATGCCTTAATATCTATGATATAGTAGACCTAGTTTTGCATCCAGAGATCTAGGCTCCCCTGACTTCTTTTAATCCCACATCTTGGTTTTATCTAATCTACTGGCTGAGACATAACTGATTAGGAAAACCAAGATGCGAATTCCCTTAGCATGTTCCTTCTCGACCGACCGGCACACGTAGGGGTGGGCTCTGCAGAGTGATTTGCATCTGCTTGGAGCATCCCACTACAGAAGGGCATGAATCAAGATCCAAGTGATAGTGGGGAGGGGCACATGAGAGGGGACCACATGATTCTTGGGAAAGCAAGATGGTGAATAAATCTAGAGAACAGTCAGGAGAGAGAGAGTTCCTTTGACAAATGTGACAGTTCTCCCCATGATCCAGTCTGGGCTTTTTTTTCCCTCCTCCAACAGTGAATGGACTTAATGCAGTACCTGTCATGGCCAGCTTTTTACATATTATTTAAAGGGTACCAAAGTGAATTACTCTTCTTGGGGGAAAAAACACAAGGAAAATGTATTTAATTTTGAGGCCCAGAGAGGGTTCTCTTTGAACTGGAGTTTATTTTATACTGTATGGATTCCTTTTTAAAGCAAAACTATTAAGATAAAACTATGAAAAAGTATGACTTCCTTATCCAAAAACTGAATCATTAGCGTATAAAGTATTTTCTGGCCTAGGTACTTCAAACCAATAATTTTTTTTAATTATTTATTTATTTTTATTTATTACATTTATTTATTGTGTGTGTGTGTGGCCAGCTCAGCCCACCAGGGAGCGGGGCTGGCTGGCATGTGGTGCTGGGG